AGAATCCTATAAGGTGTCTAGACAAAAAGCTCTTTCAATATTATAAATACATAAAAAATTTATGTTTGGTGAAAGTATTTGAACTTCGTGTATGAAATAATAATTAAAATTTATTTTGATATATTAAATCTGAAATTTTTTTAATATCACAAAAAAAATTAAGAGATTATCATATATTTTATTGTTAGAGATATTTTATGATTATAAGGGGAAGGGCAAAAGAAAATTTTTTTATACAAAGGTGACTTATCGATAAAGTAAGGATATTATAGTCATTTAAAATGAGTTGATATATCAAAATGATCCAAAATATAAAGATTCACGTTAGCTTGTTTAAGACGACTCTTTACCTAAACGCACATAGACGTACTGATTTGTTATTCTTCAATTAGACTTTTACCTATCATGACAAATTGAACTAATTCTGTCAATCTTAAATCAAACTTTCAGAGTTCGGACCATTCAGGCCTAGCAATCTCACCCTCTCAAGTATAAATAACCCCTATTATTATAGGTATGTGTGTTTGATTTCTCTCATCTTTTCTCTAAAATTTTTCTTTTTCTCTCTTTTATCGAGTACTAACTTAAGCATCAGAATATAAATATTGAAAACCTCATATCTTTACTTTTAACTGACCTCCAATATTACAATTTTAGATTGTATTCTGTTAATCTCGATAATAAAATTTAAAAACCTTTATTGTCAGTGAATACCATAATTTCTCAAACAAATCACTTTATAATTTGGATGACATTTATAAATTAGTTCAAACTTTGGTGTGATTACAATTATTAATCTGTATGTTTTAGATAGATGCTATGAACATAATAATATTTGTAGTCTTTTTGAAGTGTAGGCTTACGTGGTCACTTCATATCCCTACAATGTTGCTTAAAGATATCGAAAAAAAAAAAAAAAAGACATAACCTCAAGTGACACTTTCAATGGTTGCTAATGTGTTAGGAACCCTTAGAATAAATGTTCTTTGTCGTGAAATACTGTAATAGTTCAAATCTTAATCGAAACCAGACATTCTTTTTATGTATAATTTATATATATATGTTATCTATATTATTTGGAATTTAGTATTATAAGCTTACATTATACAATTGTGAAAAATATAAAAAATTATTGGATGAATACGTGACAATCTTATAAATCTGCTTATAATTACAAAAAAAAAAAAAAAAGCCCCTTGATGCCAATTTATGAATAATAATCCTTTAACTTGTATTGCACAATATTATTAATTTTGTTTTCCATCTTTTTCTTTCCTCTTTTAACGTGTGGAATTTTGGTTAGAAATTAGCCAAGCAATCAAATACTTAACAAGTTAACTACATGTGCAAAACATGTGAAAAATTCATTATAGGTAAAGATGTTGATTAAGCATAACTAATCCACCGGTGAATTGACTATAAAATTAATTAGTTGTATTTTCAAGTCAAAGCGCATCTTAACTTTCTTTATTAACCAAATTTAGCTTACAATTTTAGGTATGGCATAGTGACATGATACAGGATATAAATTGTGTATAAATCTTGTGTAATCATTTTTAATATCTTAATCGTATCGACATATTTATCACTCAA